GCCAGCCGTCTGGTTAGCAGGCAAGTGTCTTAGCCACTATGCTACCAGAGCTCCCTTATTAATACAATTAGGGATTAAGTTGATTGGAGGCTGAGTTTCAGTCTTTCCACTAAACCCTTACCCCTAGAGTATGGCCCTTGGAGTGTCCCAAATAAAAGTCCCTCCTCTTTGGTGGGCTAGAAACTACTTGGCTTACTATTTCAGCCTCTCAGCACTTCCACTGGAGAATTGGAAAAGCGGGACTAAATGTTGAGTTCTCCTCTTTGCTACCTTCTTTCCAAATCTTGGACCTTCAAGTCTCTGCTGCCTTGCTAGCTCTCCTATGTTTTTTAACAGATTTTTTCCAAAAAAAAATTTTAACCAGCTTTTGTCATTATCAACAAGCTAGTCTACTTTACCAGAAGTGGAATCTTAACTCAAGTACCTTGAATAAAATATAGGCAGTTATCAGGTTAGGAACATCCAACTTGGTACAATTTGAGGTACATACAATGGTTCATAACAAACCGACCTACTTTGTGTCGAGAAGCTCTGGTGGCACAGTAGTTAAAGCATTCAGTTGGTAACAAATAAGATGGGCAGTTCAAACCCACCAACTCTTCCACGGGATTTACGGCCTTGAAAACCCTGTGGGGTAGTTCTATTCTGTCTGGTTGGGTCTCTGTGAGGTGGAAATGACTCCATGGCAGTGGGTTTGGGTTTTTGGGTAGAATCAGAATGCAGTGCATGAATTTTAATTGGACTCTGGTTTAGGGTGAAAAAGAAAAGTAATAAATGACCTTTTGAGTGACAATTGGAGAAAATAAAATATGACTTTGTTAAGTGATATTCTCAATTTTTTATGGTATTATAATGGTATACAAAAAATATTTTTATTTTTAGGAGATGGTGTGCTAAAGTATTTTTGGATGAATAAGGAAAAACCAAGTGTGGTAAAATGTTGACAGTTGGTGAATCTAGGTGAAGGATATATGGGTGTTTATTATACTTTTCTTTAAATATTTAGTAGAAAATATTCAAACTAAAAAGTTTTGAAGAAACTGCCTTAAACTAAGTGTTGTTCAGTTAAGATCTGCCTTAATAGCTACTTGCTACTTGTCTGCCTGTCCTGACATTTTTATAATACTGATCTATTCATAACTTGACAAAAATTATTTGAGTTTATGGAATAGATTTATACAACAGTTGGTTTCTCTTTTGACAGGTGCCTTGAAGCACTATGTTAATTGCCTGGATCTGGTAAACAAGAAGCTGCCTTTTGGCCTTGCTCAGATTGGAGTGTGTTTTCATCCTGTTGCTGGTACTAAACAGACACCTAATGGTGTTAAAAGGTATAAAAAATGGTGGATAATTTGGCCTTATATTTCAGTAGGCAAGTCCTTTTCACTTTGGGGTAAATTATGTCACTTTTAAAGAAGTTGACTTTCTGACATTTCTGATACCTAAAGCATCGGTGAGAGGACTGCAGCTTCCCTGGTGTGGTTTACTTCTGCAAGAACGGCAAGCCAGTGGCTGGATTTCTGGCTGCGTCATCGACTGCTGTGGTGGAGAAAGGTAGTACTACAATACTTCAGTAATTAGTGGGGAAATTGTTTTCGTGTCAGAAGTAATACCTCTGTACAACAAATAACATTTTGTCTAAAGGGACTATGTTATATTTGTAAGAGACAGCTCTATAATCAATCAAATGTAAATAGAAAAAACCTTTATAATGATTCCTGTTGTTCCAGATAATAGTTACTTTGGTAAAGACTTTGTTACTTTCATCTCCTAACTCAAAAGCTTTTGTTGATAAGCCTCTTATATCCAAAGTGAAATTGAGACTCCTCGCCCAGTGTTCCCAGTATTCCTGGCTCGTGCAGTTTGACCATTGCTCACTCTTACAGCTTTAGCTTTTGCTACCTTCCTTTATGAACTTTCTGTATTAGTCAAAATGTTTTTTGAACTATTAAATGCCTGGGGCTTCCTGAGAACTCAATAATACAATATTTTTATTGCTAATACGCAGTTATTTTTATTTTTCCCATTTCTTACTTTTGCCCATGCTGTACTCCCTGCCTGAAACATCTTCTTTGCAAATCCTTCATCTTTCAAAATTCTGTTGAAGTCCCGTGTTTGCCATGTGTCTACCCACCCTCTCCAATGATAAGTAATCTTTCCTGCTAACCAGTACTTCTTATCTCTGCTGTCTCTTTGGGATTTAATCCTCTATTGGTGCCTAAGGCACTTGACTGCTAACCAGAAGGCTGGCGGTTCAAACCCACCAGCCACTCCTCGAAGGAAGGTGGGCAATCCTACTTCTGTAAGTCTATCAGAATACCAGCCTTGGAGCCTGAGGCTATTAGAGAAGATTGAGCTTTTTTTAAAAAAAGAAAAAACACCTCTGCCCCTAAATCCTCTAGAGTCTCTGATTCCTTTCAACTGGATTATTCTGTAATTTATAATCAAGCTGTAGATTTTGCTGAAAACAGTTGAAGTAAGCACTTTTTTCTTGATTGTCTTAGCTTTTCTCCATCCTTAGAGAATCCCTACCCAAACTAAATGGGGGAATCACAAATAATCACGCACTTCATAGAAGGATAAAAATGATGTGTATATGATACTATCTTCTTCATCCCCCTTAGTTGATGCTTACCTTCCCCTCTTACTAATTGACCACAGAAAGGCTGGATAGCATCAACATTTCTCAATAATTCTTTCAGACTAAAAAATTTTCAGCAATACTTTTGCTCATATTTCAATTTCCTACTTGGGACTTGACTAATTTCAATCAGTTGCTGCATAAAACGTCTCAGATAACTTTAATTCTTAGAGATGATGATAAGGTAGAGGTAGATGACCATTTATTTTAATAAGTTAACAAGACAAACGGAAGCTTTTCTCTTCCAGTTTGCAGTGAGTCCATCTAACTTCAGCAGCAGTGAGTGTCAGGATGACAAGGGACGAAAAGGAAACCACCTTTACTACAGTTTTCCCTGGGGAAAGGAGCCAATAGAAACTTTGTGGAATCTGGGAGATCATGAACTCTTACACACTTATCCTGGAAATGTGTCTGAATTACACGTATGTTTTACCTTGAGCTCCTGTTTACTCTTTACCTAGGGGTCCCCAATTGTGAACCTTCCTGAACCCTTTGAGACTATGTGGCAGACATGGTGCTCCATTACCCCTTGATACTTCATGTGTATTTCTCAAGCACAAGGGTACTCAGCTACATACCAGATTCCTCATCAAAACCAGGAAATGAATAGTAATCCACGAAGGGCCATCCCTGGATTATGAATAAGTTCCATTCATAAGTCTATCTTTAAGTTGAATTTGTACATAAGTTGGTACAGTTTTTATCTAACATCACTTAGTCACATATTTATTTGTCTTAGTATATAGTGTACCTTTCTATGCATAAAAATCATTAAGGAAACACTTCCAGATATACTAAGACATCTTTACCATAATTACACAGTAAAAATAATAATAATGTTTTGATATACACCACAAAGTAGCTAGTACCCATTTATTATTAGGGGTAGCGCAGTGCATATGACTGCTAACCAGAAGGTTGGCGGTTCAAACCCAGCAGCCGCTCCATGGAAGGAAGATGGGGCAGTTGGCTTCTGTAAAGATTTACCACCTTGGAAATCCAATCGGGGTCACTATGAGTTAGGATTGCCTCAGTGGCAGTGGGTTTGGGTTTATTTATTTATTTATTTTTTTGGTATTATATATGTAACTTGAATTTTTAATATAATAAGCTTTACAAGGGTTGATTCATAACTATGGGTTGTACATAATTGGGACATTCATAACCTGGGAACTGCCTGTAATGCTGGACATTTTCTCGTTTAGTATAACTTATGTACTACCATCCAGGGAGCTCTGGTAGCGTAGTGCCTAAGGCACTTTACTGCTAACCAGAAGGCTGGTGGTTCAAACCCACCAGCCACTCCTCAGAAGGAAGATGGGGCAATCTATTTCCGTAGTGATACGGCCTCGGAAACCCAAGGAGGGATCGCTATGAGTCGAGTCCGTCTCAACGGCACATAACAACAACAACAACTACCATCCAGTTCACAGGACCCTTGAGAGTTAACCAACTGTCCCAGTAATGCCTTTTATAGGCTCAGGATCCAATCCAGGATTATGTATTTCATATAGTTGTCACGTCTCTCGTCTTCTTTAGACTAACAATTCCCTCATCTTTGCTTGCGGTTCACAACTGGTGTTTTGAACATGACTTGCCAGTAACTTTGTAGGATGTTCGGTTTGGGTATGTCTAATGTTTCCTTGTGACTTACACATTTTGCCAGGAATAGGACAGAGGTGGTGCTGCCATCTTCTCAGTAGTCTGTCAGGAGACGTATAGTATCAGTTTGTCCCATTACTGGTGACAGTGATTCTTGGTTTAGGTAGCATCCACCAGGTTTCTACTATGTAAGTTAATAGGTAATAAGCGTTCTTCTGAGCTTTATTAATAATGTTGCTGTTGTTACGTGCCGTTGAGTCGGACCTGACTCATAGCGACCCCTCCTTGGGTTTCTGAGGCAGTATCACTATGGAAGTAGATTGCCAAAACTTCCTTCCGAGGAGTGGCTGGTGGGTTTGAACCGCCAGCCTTCTGGTTACCGGTCAAGTGCCTTAGGCACTATGCTACCAGAGCTCCCTTATTAATGATAGTCAAATAGTTTCTACTGAAGAATGTTACCTCTCAAAATACCAATTCTCACCTAGAGGAAAAAATAGTGGTACACAGTTCAGAGTCTTTGGGAGGGGACCAAGCACTGGTAGTGTTTTAAAACTCACAGGTGATTCTAATCTGTAGTCAGTTGCAACCCACTGATCTAGATCCTGCTCCCTGAGAGTGGATGTGGGCCCAAGGTCTGCCGTAGGCTTGGCACAGAGTGGGTGCTCAGCAAGCATTTGTAAAGTGAATGTATAATCCCGTATGTTGATCGTATCGTATGAGCCTAAACTGTGTTCTTTTAAGAAACAATCCTGCTAAATGATACTTTTGTTTTTGTTGGGCTTTGCTGTGAAGGGCCGAGATGGACGGAAAAATGTGGTTCCTTGTGTTCTGTCTGTAAATGGAGATCTCGACCGAGGCACGCTGGCTTACCTCTATGATTCTCTCCAGCTGACAGAGGACTCCTTTACAAGAAAGAAACATCTTCATAGAAAGGTGCTTTTGATATTTCATAGAGAGATTTGGGAAACGAAAAATAGATTTTTTTCCTTTTTTTTTTATGTTAGTGTGCTCTCTTTCTAATGTACATTCTGAATAATAAATTTCTTTAGCGAAAATACTTTAACTATTGTTTTGTTTTTTGGAATCGAGCCTCAGGAGTAATAGGTTCCCAGAACAGAGAAATCCCAAAGGTATTTTTATTTGCTTACGAGACAGCTATCCCTGTGATTCTTAGCTGCTGAGCCTTTCCAGTGATAGCGCCTGTTTGTGTCAGAAGCTAGTTATAAGCAGGAGTGTAAGGAGGATTAAGACAGATAGCACCAGCAAGACCTGTGGTATTGACCTCTCTACACCAGGGATCTGGCTTCTGGTCTTGTTCCCAGTGACCACTAGTTCACAGAAGCTAGATAGGAACCTGGATCAAGGGAAAGGGAGGGCATTGAAGTTAGAGAAAAGAAATGACTATTGGGGTAAGAGTTGGGAGGAAATGGGAGGGACCAAGAACACAAGTTGGAGGGATTTGTCTGGAACTGGAGTTACTTGAAACAGCAGAGAAGAAAGCAAGGGTGGTATGGACATGGTAAATAGTCCACTGAGACTGGCGAACTTTTGAAGGTTACTTTACTCACACCCTCTATTTTCTTGGAATTAGACGAAGTTATTAGCTTGCATTGAGGAGAATTGGTGGCAGTAGTTTCTGAGTGGCAAGACTAGAATAGTCATATTTCCCTTGAATGTGAAAGAGAAGTACGTAACGTCAGAAAGCTTTAACAGGTAGCGTTGAGTGCCCAGCTGGAGTCAGAGTTTGCAGCACCATTCTACAAGGTTAAAAAAGCTATGTTCATTTAGCCTCCTGTGGGCATACAAAACTCCAATTATAGACTCATTTTGGGGGTTGGGGTTTATAAGGTGTATGTAGCAAACAGAGGAAGGGGGATCCTTTTTTCTCTTACACCCCACATCTAAACCATTAGCAAATCTTCCTTGACTCCACCTTCAGAGTGTTTCCTGACTGACCCCTCCTTACCACCTCTGCTGCTACCATCCCCCCGTGCCCAGGTTGTGTTGCTCCTCTGCTCAGAACGCTCCAGTTACTTCTTCAGGCCACTCGAGGGAAGGCTAACGACCCTGGAGCGTTTGGCAGAGCCCTGTCCTTTTTGGCCTCCTTGCCTACCACTATGCACCTCTGTCCCCTCCAGCAGGGCCCTCCAGCAGCGTTGACCTTATTTCTGGAGCCTACCAGACATGCACCCAGCCCACCCTTGGCCCTTGTTTTCCTGTTGCCTCATACTCTTCCTTCATTGGCCACATGTCTTGCTCTCCCGCCTCCTTTTAAGTCTGCTCAAATGTCACCTTAGGAAGGGGGCCTTCTCTCACCTAGTTTAAAATTCCAAGTAGCCTCCTACTCCCTACCCCTTGCTAATATTCTCTGTCTCTCACCCCCCATTTTGTTCTAGCACGTATGTCCTTCAAATTTGTCATTGACTTACCTGTTTCTCTCCACCATGAGGGACAAGAATTTTTGTCCCCAGCACCTAGAACTATTTCTGGCACATAGTAGCTTTTCTAATATTTATTGAGTGGATGGATGCATGAGAAAAGTAGTGGGTTTGGTAAGAGGTAGTCCAAATGATAAACCATGGGGTCCAGGCTGGGCAGTAAAGAAAGTGATGTCAGGAAGGAAAAGCAGATTGATTGCAGGAAAATGAAGTTGTCACAAAATGGGAGAGCAGTTACTTTGTTCCTGCAAAATGCCTAAGTGGAGACTGTTGGGCAGCCAGCTAGACAAGTGAATACATTTTCAAATGTTGTTTTATGATCTTAGCTAGCTTTCATTTTCACACAGAAAATCTTAGCAGTTTAAGAAACTTCAGGTTTGTTGGTACTTGTGTTCTGTATAAACAAGATACACTCTCTCCGCCCCCTCCTTTTAATTGCCTTAGGTACTTAAACTTCACCCTTGTCTAGCTCCTATTAAGGTTGCTGTGGATGTGGGAAGAGGCCCAACAGTGGAACTAAGACAGGTAGGTTGAATGAGTTTTAATATCATGATTTTGCTTATAACCATTATTCCAAGCAAATAAGTAGCTTGTCCTGTAAAATTTTATTTTGATTCATTAGCTTTTTAAAACTCTTTCACTAAATAATGAATTGTGGATAAATACTGTGGTTAATTATAGATTCATGCTTAGTCATAGTTCCATTTTTTAAAAAAGTATAGTCTTGGTAATAAAAGTGTTGATGCAGATGTCTTGTGAGTTATTTCTTGCTCCCTTCTCCTTTTAATACTTTTGAAACTTACTGGTATCAGCAGAGGCTCTGGATCTAGGATTTAATCTTGAGAAAAGCCAGGGGGCTGGTTTTAGTTTCTTTCCAGAGACCTCTTCTGACCTGTTGCAGTCCAATTAGTTCCAACTCATAGTGACCCTATAGCATAGAGTGGAACTGCCCTGTAGGGTTTTCAAGGCTGTAATCTTCTTTACTGGTTCTTTCTTCTCCTCCTGACATGATAGTGTACCTCAGTTCTTAACTTTCAGATGAGTTTAGACCTACTTATTTTGTCTGCTAGAATCTGTTTTGGTTTTGTTTGCTTGTGTTTTGTTTTGTAACATTTTATTGTGGTTTGGGTAGAAGTTTACAGAGCACATTAGTTTCCCATTCAGCAGTTTATACACATTTGGTAATGTGGCATTAGTTACATTCCCCTCTCTGTAACAGCACACCTCCCACTTCCTGGTTTCCATTACCCATCTTATCTGCGCCTTTCTACCCTCTGACCTTTGTTTTTGGGTAAATACTGCCCTGGGTCTCCTATGGTTGGTTGATTGTCCTGAGAAGCATGTTCCTCAAGGTGTTAATTGTTTACTTTAGAGGCGTTGATAGGCTGACAGGTATTCTCTGGGAATTGGTTCAGTTCCACATTGTTTGTGTTTTGAATGTTAATTATAATAGAAATTCCTATGCTTGGCATAAAAATTTCAAAGATTTTTGTTTAGTACTATTAGTGCTTAAAAAACTCACTGCTGTCATGTTGATTCTGACTCAATAGCGACCCCTCCTTGGGTTTTGAGGTGGTATGTCTGCAGAAGTAGATTGCCCGGTCTTCCTGGAGTGGCTGGTAGGTTTGAACCGCCAGCCTTCTCATTAGCAGTCAAATGCCTTAAGCACTACACCACCAGAGCTTATTGAAATTATACAATTTATAAAATATACCATTTATAAGTTGTAAGCATTACAATCACATAATTAAAACAATTTATACCCATTTTGGAGACTGAAGAAAGTGATTTGTGGTTTGACAAAAACAGGGCAATCACTGTCTACTTTTCTTTGTTTCACATTTGAAGTTTTTTGTTCTCCCCCAGGTTTGTCAAGGGCTATTTAATGAATTATTAGAAAATGGAATTTCTGTGTGGCCTGGTTATTTGGAAACTGTGCACTCCTCATTGGAACAACTTTATTCAAAGTAAGAAAAGTTCTCTTTCTTGTCATTAAAGAATGTATTTATTCAGAGTTTTTGATTATATGATGTTACTTTATAAGTAACAGAAATAAATATCTTCCAAATATATATAAAATGTAATTAAAAATTGTTCCTGACCTTGCCTTTTATAGAATCATATGCCTTTAGTTAATTATACAGCTGAGAGTAGTGTATTTATTCAGATATATTTGAGTGTGTGGACTGTGCAGCTCCAAGATGTAATATCATGAAGCGTGTATGACATAGTCTGTCAGTTTATTGGGAGCGAAATTACACATGTTGGATGCATTTTTTAAATAAGACTGGAGGGGCTTTCCTTGCCAGCATTCTGGTTCATTCCATCGCCCTTAACTGTTGTGTAAAAGTTGTGAGGTTTGTGCTTTGCTCTTTAGTTCTTTGATAACTTGTTAAAATACACCTTTCAGATGATATCAGCAGAAAAAAAATAGGTTTCTATAGTTAGAGCAACTCATGGTTTTCTCATATAGAAAATGAAAGGGTGGAGCTTGAACTTTCCAGTCCTCTCAGGTTCTAAAATCTTATCCTTGGAGTCATGTACACATGATCAAATCATGGTGGTTCTTTATATGGTAAAGGGTTATTGTCCCAGAATATTTCTGTCCAGGTATTTAGTAAACACCTACTGTGTTTTATCCAGGTGTTTAGTCAGTGCCTCCTGCTGTGCACTTTGATACTGCAGTGAACAAAACTAAAGCGTTTTCTGTTCTTAGGAAGCTTATATTCTAGAGGGCCAGAATAGATAATAAACAAGTAAATAGATAAATAAGGTAATTTTTGGTAGAACCCCACAAAAAAATAATAATGAGACAGTGTGATTGGACAAGCAAAAGGAAGGCTAGTGTGGATATATTCCATTATTGCTGAACTAGAAACTATATGTATATGATGTTATAAATTAAGCATGATTTCAGTACAATGATTGGTTGGGTATTGGATCTTTATTATAATATATTTATTATTCAAAAAACCAAACTCACTGCCGTCGAGTTGGATCTGACTCATAGTGACTCCTTGGGTTTCCAAGGCAGTATCACTATGGAAATAGATTGCCCAACCTTCCTTCCGAGGAGTGGCTGGTGGGTTTGAACCGCCATCCATCTGGTTACCAGTCAAGTGCCTTAGGCACTACGCTACCGTGTTGTTGTTGTTGTTGTCATCATTACGTGCCATCGAGTTGGACCTGACTCATAGCGACCCCTCCTTGGGTTTCTGAGGCGGTATCACTACAGAAGTAGATTGCCC